AGGGGGACAGAAGTAACAGCTCTTGGTTGCAGCCTCCAGAGACAGCTCCTGGGAATGATCTGCCCGTCCCCCCAGGGCCACCGTCCAGCACCACCACCCCATCCCCCCCAAGACTGTCCCCACAGCACTGGAAGGTCCGTGTACAACCAAGAACATGCCCAGAGATGACGCTCAGGCTCAGAAAGTGTCCCCCACATACACATACATGCACACAGAAAGGGCTGGAGCAGGCGCCGCCGCTGAGGTAGCCTGGACTCTATGGCCCTAGAACAGCATCTGAAAGGAGCAAGAGGGGGCTGGAGGCCTACGTTCCACAGACACCAGGTTCCTCACCCTTAAACCAGGTGGACTAGATGACCAAGTTCTGGAAGGGCGGGCAGCCCTGCTGTGATGGCCTCCTGGGCCGGACATGGCTCAGCCGTGTGTGTGTGTGTGTGTGTGTGTGTGTGTGTGTGTGTGTGTGTGTGCACATGCACGCCAAGGATGCCTGGCGGCCCGGGTCGCAGCTACAAAAGGGGTGCTGGGAGCAGGTGAGAGCTGGGAGGGCCTGTCCCCACCGTGTCCTCCTTAAAGGTGGTGCTGGGTCTGGTCTGTGCAGGCAGAACAGGCCCCAGGAGGAGCAGGGTCACTCGGGCCAGGAGGAAGTGGGGGAAGGGAAGGAACGTTCCATGAGAACCAGCCAACAGGAAAGGGAGTTTCCTACCAGGATGAGCCCAGGCAGCCCCCAGGCTCCTCCCAGGAACCCGTGTTATCTGATGGTCTCCCCAGTGTTCCCTCCTCACACCAGGCCTCACCTCCCTGGCAACCCCACTGCAGATCACCTCACTTCCCAAGCAGCCATGCCCTGAGGCCCAAGGTTGTCACCCCATCCCGGGGATCCTGTGGGAGCCCTGGCTGAAGGACCAGCGTGGGGGCCCTGACATGCCCACCCTAAGCTGGACACCCACTCTGAGCCCCCCCCCCCCCCGCCGCTGCCCCACATGCTGAGGACGGCTCATCAGGGTCACAACAGGCCCTTCCCAGACTGAGGCCAAGGCCCTTGAATGCAGCCTCCCCAGCAGTCCCCAGAGCCCAGCCTCTTCCGGGAACCCTGCGTATCCCACCCGGGCACCCACAGTCAGGCGCAGGCATGTCCCTCCACACCCCAAATCACCCCTGCACTGCCTGTCTCTCAATTGGCCCAACAGCGGCCACCGCACACTGGCACGGAGCAAGGCTCCTCCGTCATGGAGGGGTAGGCCTGGGGGCTCCTGACAGTTCAGAACCCGGGGCCCAGGGAGGACCCAGCTTGCTCCAGGTGGGAACCTGTCCTAGCCTGGGGTGCCCACACCTGGCTCCACCTAAGAGCCCCCTGGGGATTCCCGGCCCAGCGCCCCTGCAGAGCTGAAGGCCCAGAGGACCCAGCAGTCAGCACCTGAGCCTGAGCTCAATGAGGGTGGGGGGAGGGGTGGGTCACACCTTCCAGAACTAGCAACACCCCAGCAGCTCCCCTAAACCGAGGGGCCACACAGAGGCAGATACGCAGTCCCAGGAGCCCCGAGGCTCTGCAGTCCTCCCCAAGTGCGGGGCCAGCAGAGGGTGAGCTCCCTAAGCTGGGGGCGGGGCTCAGTTCACACAGCCCAGCTCTCAGAAACACCCTCCTGGCGGGGTGTCACCCTAACCTCGAGGACAGACGTCTGCAGGAGCGACTCCCCTGCGTACTTCAGAGGGGACAACAGCCCCACTGAGCTCGAGCACAGGCTGGAGAGCAGGAACGGGCCTAAACCCGCAGGCTGGGAGAGCCCCTGTCCCTCTGGGGCCGGATGCCCCAGCCCCACCTGCTCCTCACCCTTCCCTGCACAGGCTGTGCAAACGCCACCCTTGGGGCCATCCCTCACTGGGTGTCTTTCTAGGGTAGGGGGCAAGAGACAGCAGCACCCCCTTCACAGGAGGTGGGGAGAGGGCAGGGAAGCCTGGAGGCTTCTTCGAATAATGAGCCTGCGTTTGGCACAGCCAGGGCCTGCCCTCCCTCTCCCCCCGCAGCAGAAACGGGATCCCGTGTCTGCAGATAAGCACCAGGTGGGCCGGTCCTGCTCCTGCCAAGCGCAGAGGTTACAACAGAACATTGTGAAGGCCTCGCCCCCCCCCCTCGCCTTTCCTTCCCCTTTCCTGCCCCAAGGAGCTAAGGTGCGTCTGAACAAGGAGGGAGAGGGACCGACGCCGCCCTCCCTTCTCTCCACCAAGGTCCTAACACTCCCAGGATCTCTCTCCCCAGGGTGGGGCCCCGGCCTCTCCCCCACCCTCCCTGGGGAGCAGGACCAGCAGAATCAGACCTGGGGCCTGTCCCCACCTGAAGGCCCAGGTGCCAGCCCACGCCTGGGCTCTTCCCGCCGCCCCCCCCAGGGAACAGCACCCGGCAAGGTTCCAGCCAGACTTGGGGGTTGGGCCACCCCAATTCAAGGACAGCAGCACCCAGCTGAGCAGGCCCCAGGCCCTGTTCTACCACTTCCTGTCTGGGTGACCTTGGGCTCATTTCTCAACCTCGCGGGGCCTCGTTCCCTCATTAAAGGGATGGTGACTCCCGCTCAAGGCTGCCGCCAGAGTCGAATCAGCTCATGTCTAGGAAAGCGCTTGGCGACCTTCCTTGAGGGCGACGGAAATGTGGCGAATGCCATTCCCGAGACTACGGCGGGAGAGAAGCCCTCGCCCCTCGGCTGCGATGGGGTGACACTGGGAACTTAGAGGGGCCTTCGGCATCCTGGGCACAGCGCAATGGACGCAGCCCAGGAAATCATTTAAAATAACTGACACACCCATCAAGTCCCCAAGCCCCCTGAGGCCAGAGAACGTCGAGGCCAAGGTCCTCCGTGGGGATTTCCCCCGCTGATGCTCTGACGGCCATGGGGGGACGTGATTCAATTCCCGAGCGCACAGTGAGTCCTCAGATACCCTTGCCCCACCAGATGAAAGGCGACTAAAGTCAGGAACCTTCTGGAATGAGCCTGGGGCGCACCCCACACCTCACACAGCTTTCCTGTCCCCTGGGGATATGTTTTTCAAAGGAACATTTAATGAGATGATAAGATGCTGCTGTTTTTGGTTTTGCTTTCTACGCCTTTCAGCCTCTCAGACCCGGGCCCTCTCCATGAGGGCGGCCAGGGATTCTACCTCTCACGTACCTCCCTGGCCCCCCGGAACCCCCAACTCCCCCCCAACCCTGCGGGGCCACAAAGCATCGGCCTAGGGTTCCTTCCAGGGAAGCCCTACACCGTCCCCCCCCGGGAGGGGTAGGGCCTCTCTCCTCAGGCCCACACTCCCTGGTCAACAGGCTCTTGGGACCTGGCCACCCCGGAATCCGGGGCCTTTCTAGTGACCGAGACCCCAGAGCTGAGGGTGGGACCGCTCACAGGGTGTCCAGGGCTCAAAGGCTGGCAGAGGGGCAAGACCAACTCACAGTCTCCCGGTGTGGAGACCAGAGCAACCAGCGAGCCGTGCCCAGGGCATCGCGAGGCCCTGACCCTCTCTAGATAGGGAAGTGGATGCGCCCACTGGGGTCGGGGCTGAGTAAGGGGAGTTGGGGCGGAGGGTCCACTGACTACCCCTTCAGGACCTTGAGGTGGCTGGAGTCAGGGACCCTAGAGGAAGGGACGTGGGGGCTGGTGTCTGGTTTGAGGGGAGGCCCCACAGCCCCAAAGGCTAGCGTGCTGGAGGCCTAGAGACGCGGATTCCTTTCCTGGGCCAGGGATAGCCGGGGTTTCCACCTCAGGAGAGGGCCAGAGGGACAGGCCCCAAGGGCCAAGGGCAGGAGAAAGGCTGCCCCTCACCTACCCTCTGACCTTGCTGTCACCACAATGGCGGTGAGGACAGACCCAAAGGGACAGAGAAGGGCAGGGAGGCTGGGAACAAAGACGCCCAACTGCTATCCGCCATCCCTGCCTGCAGAGGAGGCAGGTAAGAGGGAGCCCCACTGACTCCAGGGAGAGCCAGGTGGTCCCACTGTGACCTGTCCTGAGGGCACGGGGGTGAGGGCCCCATGGCCTCTGCAGACCCCCACAGCTGCTTGTAGGGAGGGGAAGGGGGAGGAGGCACTTCACATGGACCAGCCACGCCGACCCCACAGCTGTCTTCCCTTCACAGGGCCGGGCCAGTCTGGGCCTCCTTTAGCCTTTGTGGGGGAGAGGGGGTGCATACGGCAATCGGGGTGGGAGCTGCCTCCACGGGGAGGAAGCAGGGTTGGAAAGACGGGCAGGTGCTGCAGCTCAAGTCACAAGGTCACAGCCATGTCTCCCACAGAGGCCAGTGAGGTGGGGGCCGCTGGGGACCAGGTGTCCACCCCCAGCCTCCCTCTGCCTCCCCTCCCTCGCCAGCACAGCGGCAACTATTCCTGCCGAAAGACTTACTATGTCATGAGAGTGCTGCTGCGGACGCTGCTGGGGGCAGGAGCCTGTGGGGAGGAGCAGGAGTAAATATTACTCTGCAAGCGCCTGGGGGGCGGGAACAGCACCCCACAATCCCGGGCAGCCCTCGCCCAGGGCATCTAATGAAGATGCAGGAGGCGTTTGCTCTTCCTGCTTCAGTCCTGGAGGACACGCGTCCAGCGCGCGAGACCAGCCGGGCTCTGCCTGCACCGCTGACCCCACCGGGGCCGCTCCCTCCGCCCTCCCCCGGGGTGGTCACGGGGCACCTGTGGGCATCCGGCCCGAGGCAGCGGCCTCACATCCAGGGCCCACAGCGTAGACAGAGAAGCAAGATAAGAACCCACCACAAGGGAACAAGGGAGGATGGTCGTGAAGTGGGGTAAGCCCAGGTGTGAATTTCCAGGGGGTGTCATTTCGCAGAGTGGCCGGGGCCTACCACAGTCCCCCGTTTGCTGGCACCCCTCCCACCCCGCCTGGCCGCCCCGTGTCTGTGTCTTCCTCACAACTGTAGCTACTAAAATGTCCTTTCTACTAAAAAAGAATGTAATACCAGATAAGAACTTTTATATCCTTATTTGATAAAACATAGTTACCCTGTATTGATCCTAGTTTTTTTCTCAATTTTAATTCTTATGGAAATAACACTGATTGCAACACTATGTGTCTGGTCTTTATCCTTGAGTCTGTTTTTTAAGGTTAACCGAGTCACAGAATCCTAAAGCTGGGGAGCCTCTGCCTTTGCCTTGGGCCCTAAAACTGGACTTTCCCCCCGACTACTTTTCACCCCCAACCTCACCCCTGCGAGACCCACTCTCCAACCCGGGGCACCTGGGTGACGTCCTATCCTCTGCCAGGCCTGAAGTGACCGAGGCCTCAGGAGGTGAGGGGTGCCAGGACCTGCCTGGCTGGCTGTGCTCCTGACCTCAAGGTCCCACGCCCAACAGTCTTCACTTCGTTGGCTGTCAAACCTCAAACTTCTGAGGCCAGCAGGACATAAACACTCCCCACGCGACAGACACAGAAACGGAGCCTGAGACCACCCCAAATTCCCCAAAATCAACAGCAAGGAAGAGAACTGTATCCTTGCGGATGCTCCCAGCCCACGGCACGGAACTGTCTCTCCCGTGGCGACATGGTCCACCCAGGCCCACCCACCCTTCCCTGCGGAACCGGCAGCGGCCTCTTCCCATGATTCATCACTGGCCCCAGCATGTTTCCAGTAGCCGGCTCAAATCCAAAAGTGGTAAGTGTCAAACCTGTTCAGAATTTTTGTTCTGATGTCAGGAATAGTACCTGCTTGGGTCAGAGAGACTGGAAGATTCTGTTCATTCCACTGCAAGCGCGTGTGCAGGGCAGAATGTTCCAGGCCTTCTCAGAAGGCAGAATTGAGCCCGGGCCTGGGCTCCCGCCCCTCCTTCCTCTCGTAGGGACCCTGAGCTGGGTGCTGCAGGATCTCCTGGCCCTGGGCACCGAGTCCCCAGAGGGCAACAGAGGAAGGGACAGACCTGGGTCTTGCTCCGGCAGGCCTGACCCGAGCCAGGGAGACCAGCTGGCTGGGGATGAGGTCAATGGCTTCCAGGATAATTAAGTCAGATCCAGACAAACCTACTGGGAAATCAGCCCATTAGGGAAAAGAGAGGTTTAGACCAGAATGGGAGGTTTTCGGTGATACCAGGGAGGGCATCAAGGTCTATTTTGTATCCTAAGAAGGCGCTAAAGGGATGGGGTGAGGGGGAAGGGGAAGGGCAGGGCCCAAACAGGTGGAAGCAACAGGGAGCAGACAGCGCGCCCTCCCCCCCCACACACTAGAAATCCGAGTTGGGGAAAAGAGCAGGGAAGAGAGTGGACAGCAGTACTCCTGGGAGGTTAGTTTCTGAAATAATGGCCTTGGTGCCGGGGGTTGAGTGCCGCGCTGTGAGGCTGTCCGCAGCTTCTGCAGCGCCGGTTTGATTCCCGGCCGGCCAGGGAGATTCCCACATGGGAAGGCAGACCTCTCCTGTCTCCCCGCTGCTCCCGCGCTCAGCATATTGTCTTCCTGCTTCATTCATGTCACAGCAGGTGTCCACGCCTCGTTCCTTTTCACTGAGAAATAATATTCCATGTTGGAGAGGCCGCGTTTTGTCTAGCCACTCACCCTTGCTGGGCTGTTTCCTCACTGTGCACAAGCCTCGCGCATGGAACACAAGTTTCCGGTTCTCAGCCTATACCTGGGAGTGGAGCTGTCAGCCCGATGGGTAACCTTTTGAGGAAATGCCGCACTGTTTTCCAAAGCAGCTGCATCATTTCAATCCCATCAGCCACACTCAAAGGTCCTGATTTCCCCAAGTCCTCACCCATAGTTGGGCTTATCCGACCTGATTCCAAACATCTTAGCAGTACAAAATGGCGTCTCACCATGGTCTGGGTTTGAGTTCCCCGGTGACTGATGAACCACGGAGACCAACTGGCTGCAGACATGAGGGTTTACTTCTGGAGTCTCCATCCTATTGCACCTTATCATACGCCTGTCCTCATGCGAGCTCCACACCATCTGGACCACTAATGCGTTGTAATAAGTTTCAAAATCAGGAAGTGTGAGTCCTCCCATTTACTACTTCTTTTTCATGGCTGCTCTGTCTATTCTGGGTCCCTTGAGTTTCCACATGAATTTTACAATCAGTTTGTCAATTTCTGCAGAGTTCAGCTGGAATTTTCACAGGGGTTTTGTTGAATCAGAGATAAACTTGGAAGCAATGCCCTTGCTCAATGAACATAGTACGTCTTTCGAAATATTGAGTTACTGTCTTGCATTTGGGGGGGACGGGGAGGAAGCTACTGTACATGAATTTGTTTGCTTAACGGTCAGATTGTTCATTGCAAAATGCAAGTCATTTTTCCATGTTGATCTTACATTTCACAAACTTGCTAACTTTGCTTACTAGTGACTTATAGTTCTCTTAATGGACTCCTCAGGACTTTGTATATAGGTGTGCTTTGTTTTCTCACACCTCCTTTTATCGTGTTTTGCAGATATTACTTTTTTGTTTCAAACAGATCACAGCTTTGCATTGAACAAGTCCGTTGGCGGCTTTTTTCCAGTAGCATGAGCCCACTTGGTGTCTCTGTGGCATATTTAATTAAGCTATGCACACTATTTTTAAGACAAAATGCTACTGCACGTTTAGTGCACTGCAGCAAAATGAAGGCATAACTTTTACATGCACTGGGGAACCAGACATTCATGTGGCCGACTGTAAAGTGTGATGCTTGCTTTGCTGTGGTGGTTTGCTCTGAGGTGTGCCTGTAACAAAATCATGTCATCTGCAGACAGTTTTGCTTCTTACTTCCAGGTCAAGAGGCATCTTATTTCCTCTTCTTTCAGAAGAGTTGTGGCTAGAACTTCTGGAACAATCTTGAATAGAAGGGGCAACAAGAGACATTCTTGTTGGGTTCCTGGGGTTGGAGAGAATGCTCTCAATCTTCCACTACTGCGTGTGATGTTGGTCATGACATGTTTAAATTTAAAAACTTCAGGCTGGAAGTGACAAGACTATGAGGTTTGTCCAAGTAGATAAGAGAGAGAAATCACAACACTTTCTGTCTACAGAAGTAAGCAGAGATATGAAGAACCAAGAAAAAGCAGAGCTCTACCAGCCCCGGCTGGGGACAGTCCCCATGACGCACGGGGTGGGTCAGACCCTGGGGAGGGCAGTTCTCTGAGCTCATCAAGAATCTAAGGAGGTGGTATTTGCCCTCAAACTTGCCTGTGCAGCTGTACTTGTCCAATTACATAAATGATTACATTTTATGTAAACCCTCGGAATAGAAGCTAAAAAGCAACTGAAACAGAATTGAAGGTTTGGGGAAGATTGCTGTCAAATGAGGCGTGGACAAAACAGCTAGATACTATTCGGGTGTAAGAAAATCTGTAAGTACTGGGCATTCAGTTTTTACTTCACTCGGAAGAAAGAGAATTGCACAAAATCGATCAAAGAAAAATGCAAAAAAGACAATGGAGGCCATCATTCTGGGGGGCTGTTAATCCTAGAAAGGCCTTAGCCCTGAATCAGGAGATGGGGGAATAAACGCATGTTTTCGGTTCGGATGAAATGCCTTCTGTGCAAATAAAATGTTCCTGGTATATTTGTATCATTTTATGACCCCCTTTTAAACCATCTTTTTCAGTTAACCAACTCACTGACACGGCCGACCGACAGTACTGGAACCAAGAGCTTCTCCTGGGCACCATGGCATGGTGGTTACCTGGGCTTTGGTAAAGTCCTACCCCTGCTGGGCAGGTGAGACAAGATGTCAGTTCTTCTTCCACTTCACCATTTGGTATTTTCAAGACTTTCTACTAAGTCCATACAGCTTTATAATAATATAGGGCAAAATTTCTTTTTTAAGATTCTGATCCTGTAACTTCCTGCTAATGATGGGGAGAATTCAGAAACGGGCACTGGCCTGGCTGGGCGGTCCTGGCCAATAAGGTGCCCAGGGCTACAGGTGAAGCTATGGGCATATGAGAAGGGACAGCACACAGCTGACCCCCCAGGGCTCTCTGACTGGACGGGGTTCCTACTCGCTGCTGGAGCTAATAAAACCCGGAAGCAGACCCCCAGTGGGCACCGGCCCTGAGCTCTGGGAATGAGGCCGCTGCTGCCCCTGACAGGCTGGAGTCACACCCCACTGCGCAGATCTGGGTTTCCTGGGAGAGGGCCAGGATTTGTAGTATTTTTAAAGAAACACGAAGTTTCCGTTTTGATTTATGCAAAATGAGAGAGGAAGAGGTGGTTTCACTGCACCTAAATTCCTCCTGGAGGCTTCGCTTCCCTACCCAGCAATACGCTGGGTTTGCAGGAGGCTTCGGAGCAGCTGATCACAGCCTGGTTCTCCTGTCGCCGGGGTAGGGAAGTGGGGCTGGGAAGGCAGGGATGTGTGTTCTGATTTGTATCTCACGTCCTTCAACTGCACCCCCACCCCTCAACCTCACACTCATAATGAGCTTTCCTTATGTTTGAAATACATCCGTAGGCCTGGGAGCCTGAATCAGGCAAGTCACAGAAATGAAGGAATTGGGGAGCCGAGTCCACTGGGCCCGGGCTCTGTGCCAGACACCACGGGGATACCAGGGATACAGGAGGGGCTCAGAACTCCCCCATCCCCGCAGGCACCAATCAACAGCCACTGGCATATCATGGAAAGGGGTGCGCAACAGGGCGTGCCTAAAACTGCAGGGGACTGGCCGGCAGAAGGACCCAGAGGCTGAGCAGGGCTGGAAGGAAGGGAAGGGTGTGGCGGGTTGGGACTGACACCCAAGATCGGATCCTGGAAACTCAAGCAGCAGGAAGCCGGCCAAGAGCCGGGTGTGGGCGGCGCCATCTGAAACTGGTTTCCTCCCCACTCCTTCCCCCTCCATCCGCTCCGGGGCTGGAGCCTGGGGTAAGGAGCTTGGCGGGGCGGGTCGCACAGCTCACACCCATTTGAGGTGCTATGGGCAGGCAGCACGGGCTCCAGAGGGGGCTTTTCCCGGAAGCACTGCACACCACGGGCCCTGACGGCTGGGAGAGGTGCTCAGAGGCGGGCCCATGGGTGCACCACCAAACCAACGAACCTGCAAGCAAGTCGCTCCAAAGCCAGGGCCCAGGTATGGCCACATCCCCGCGGGGTGGCCTGTGCGTCCACTGAACTCACGTGAACGGTTTCCACCACCAGCCTCCCCCTGGGCCAGGGCTCTGCAGAGTGAGATCCAGGGACAGGACGCCAGGGCTTAGCTGTGGGCGCCTCTGAGGATGAAGCTTGCACCAGAACCCCGGAGCGCCTGGTCCAGATGTGTGGGCGGGAGTGGAGAGGGAGCAGTGCAAGCAATGAACCAGATGTGGTCACAGGGGCCTGAGCCCGCCGGGGGAAGAGAGAAGGCGGGGGAGGGGGAGTGTGTGTGTGTTGTGGGGAGTGTGCACTGGGGGGAGGGTGTGTGTGGTGTTTGTGTGGGGTGATTGTTCTGTGTGGGGTGTGTATGTATATAGTATGTGTGTCATATGTGGTGTGTGAGGTGTGTGTGGCATGTGCGGTGTGTGTGTTGTATGGCGTGTGGTGTGATTGTTGTGTGTGAAGTATATGTGTATGCTGTGTGCCATGTGGTGTGTGAGGTGCATGTGGCGTGTGTGTGTGTGTTGGCGCAGAGGAGAAACGGAGGCAATGCCGTGTTGTGTTGAAAACACAGCCCATTTGGCTCTGCTTGATGCTCACGGCGCGAGCACCCGGTCACCCTAAGAGGCGGGAAACGCGTGTGACTCTGCTCACGGGCTGGTGACCCCAGCGAGGGGCCTCTGAGCTGATGGTTCACACTCCCTGAAGACACAGACACCGGCGGGGCCTCTAGATGCTCCTCTGTTTAACTGTCCCTAGAAGACGGATCTGCCACCTCATTCCAGAAGGAAAGAAGCCACGGGAGGTGGAGGAGGGCAGATAAGTCAGCTTTGGGGGTGAAGGCACCTCCTCAGAGACTCCAGAGGCTGGTCCTAAAGGGGGCACACGGGCTGCTAAGTGGTCAGTGAGGGGCTTCCCCTTCTGTCCCGCCGTGCTGGTCCTCCACCAGCCCCAGAGCTCCCGGGCCTGGCCTCTGCGGGGCCCAGCCCCCAGGTCTAGACACCTGTCATGTCCCCAACGGGGATCCAGCCGTGTCCTCCACATCCCCTGCTTCAGCTCAGAGACCAGAATGACCAGACCAGCACCTGCCCCGGAAGCAGTCGGCTCCTGCACTGACCGAGGAGGTCTGAGGCCTCCCAGACACAGGCGCACACTCACACACACACCCCTCCCGCACACGCTCAGACGGCCCCAGGCCCAGGCTTCCACTACAGCCACAATCACCCGGCGGGGCTTGGGTCCCCAGACCATCTGTGGGTTCACACTCCCCAGAGGTGACCAGATGTTCGCAGTGGCCACCCCTCTGGGAAGGGGTACACACACTCGTTTCTCCAACGAACAGGTTCAGATCACGTTTACAGGCAGAGAAAAGCTAAAGCGTGCAGTTCTGCAACGTCTGCATGGAAGCCGCACGGCCGCGCGGCCGCGTGAGTCCCCGTCTCGCCTGGTCCACACCGCGCGGCAGAGCGGCCAAGGGCAGGAGGCGGGAGAGCAGGACGAGCTGCCCCGACATTATCTTCACTCCTGGGAAAAGGCTTCTCTGCTGTTTCCCAAAGGGGGGTGGGAAGAGGAGAGCTGGGAGGCGAGGGAAGGGGGAGCATGCATGGGTGGTTTCGAGAAGCCTCTTACTCATTTGATTATAAAATATTTCTGAGCCACCAGATGGTATAATAGCAGCTGCCGATGCCCGCATAGCTTTTGTTAATTTCTTTGTGCAGGGCTCCATTTCAGGGCTGATGGGCCATACCCTGGAGTTCCAGAAAGACCAGAAGGAACACAGCGCCTGCGGCCCGAGCAGACGCACCTGCACTGCAGGTCCCAGACCCAGGCACCTGGAGGCAGGAGAGCAGGAGCTGCCAAAGGCCCCCAGCTGGCTCCAGGCCACCCCCCTTCCCCCCCATCTGGGCGCTGTCACATAATTAACTGTGGCCGCTGGACACTTCCCTCCCTTCCAGGGCCGCAGCTGGGAGGAACAAACATCAAAGTCCACGTCTCCCCCGTCCTCCAAGATCAAAGCCGCGGGGCTGAGGAGGTCACCACGGCTCCTGCTTGGCTTGTTCTTGCTTTCCATTTTCTGTGTGGTTTTTCCTAAGAGACCCTTCAGTCCTGGTCCTGCCACTGCTCGATAACCTAGTCAAAAAGCAACAGGCTCGGGGGCCTCCCTGGTGGCGCAAGGGGTTAAGATACAACCTATGAAGCTATCCACAGCCACTGCAGCATGAGTCTGATCCCCGGCTAGGGAGCTACCCACATGGCGCAGCAGACCTCTCCTGACTCCCCGCTGCTCCCCTCAGCAGTATTTTCGGTCCTTCTGCCTGTTCTGCTCCCCACTCTGTCTCTGGTGAGTCCTCTCACCCCCCGCACCTCTGGCCTGTACCCCAGTTCTTGTATGCATAAATGAATAAATCTTTTCAACAAAGAAAAAAAAGCAACAGGCTCAGCCCTGTGGCCTCAGGCCTGGGCCATCAGCTCTGCTGGCTCCACCTTCAACAGAGGCTCAGTGGTGCTCTCCATGGCTGCCCAGAGAGGCTGCCGGAGGCGCACACCTACAGTGGCTTGCTCTGGAGCAAGCCCCTGGCAAGAGTGCAGCCTGGCCATCTGTCCCTGAGTGCCAGGGACTCAGGCCCTCCCCTCCCCTCCCCTCCCCTTCTCTGGCCGCTCCCCTAGCCCCGACCCCTTCCCCACGCAGAGTGGAGAGAGCAGCAGAAAGACTTCTGATGCCCTCAGCGTCTGGTCAGAAGCCCCTCCCAAGGAGTCTCCTGTTTCTGGTTTCAGACACAGTTTTCACCAGATCCAGTTGGGCTGCCCCGACTGGGCACTGGCCACGCTCAGGGTAAGATCTGCAGAAAGGCAGTTACAGCCACACACCCACTCAGCAGAGACACCCCTCTCCCGCTGAAGCTACTCCTCACCCTGCAGATGCTGCAGACTTCTAGAAGCCTCCAAAGAAAGAAGTAAAGGCCCTCAGGGCAGAGGCCACTTACTGCAGCAGAGGCTGGGCTGGCTCACGGCGTGAGGAGTACCCACTCTCCTGGCAGGGCCGGGCATCGGCCAGCACACAGGGAAGAGAATCCCCACCGCGCTGCATTCAGCCTGCTCAGGAGAGAGCCACGGTGCCAGCCCTCTTGTTGGAAGGGCAGGGAGGGAGCTGAGTAATGAGCGGCATGTTTGGGGGCTGGAACAGGCCTGGGGGTGCTAGCATGGATGCCTAAGAACAGTTTTTGGCAGGACAAACGCCCGGGGTGGAGGGGGATCCAAACAGGAATGAAAAGGAGCAAATATTTCCCTTGTCTTAAAACCCTGCCCCCCTCAACCCTGATCTTAGGGAGGAAGAAATCGGCCCGCTCCTCCTGCCATCCCACAGGGCCGGCTCAGGAGCCAGCACCCCACCCCCAACACTGCGTGGCTCAGTTGGGCCAGCGGGGCTGCGCCGGTGGGGAGGCCAAACAGCCTTGGATTCAGGCCATAGGACATAGAGACTGGAGAGCCTTAAGGCCAGGCCGAAGAGTTCTGACCCGTCTGGGGAGGGCGCCCGCTTCAGTGGGGAACGGACTGTGCCTCCGGGCCTGGTGACCAAACAAAACTCCGCTAGAGAGAGGCGCTTAAGGCTGGGCTTAAGCTCATCTGGCTCTTGACAGCCTTAGCACATGCTGTTCCTTCTGCCTGGAATGCACTCAACCCAGCCCCCTCCCTCCCCCGGCTAAAATGCCAGCAGCCCTCTCCCCCAGGCTGGGCTCCTGGGCCCTCTGGGCATTGCCTTGGGACTGGATCATCATGTTCATCCTCCCCCACCCGCCTGAGGCCCCAGGCGGCCACTCCATCGCACGGCCTGGCGCTCTCTGGCCTCACAAAACAAGGCCGGGATTCCAGGGGCGCCTTTGCAGAGGACAAAGCAACCCCCTGAGTGGAGCAGGGCACGGCGTCCACCCCCAGTTCACCCAACGACAAGTTAATAATTTACTCACCAGCAAGGAAAATCTGTCTCAAATCTAACAAACTCCCAGTGAGCATGCTGGACATGAAAGACCCCTTCAGCTCCCAACTTCTGGATCTTCTTAAACGCTAGCCTTGTCCCCGAGGCGATCAGGAAGGGGTTGCCTTGAAGAGGTCACAACCCTCCAGAAGCCCTGGGCCCTTGCCAATCTCTGCTCCTGGGCCCTTCTCCCTCGGGCAGGCTGATGGCATGACCTCAGCAGCCTGGAATCGCTACCCAGTTTTATACCAGCCAGCAGCTCCCACCTACGTTTCTCAATGTTTTTGGGCAGCTTCCAGAGAGCAAGGAGAGAGTTTCTGCTTAAAAACCCCACCCTACCCTGAGGTCACAGGCCAGCCCCACGAGGGGACACTGAACAGAAAGCCCCCCACTCCCACGACAAATCGAGAGCCCTGGGCAGTCAACCTAGTCTTTAAGAAAATTGCCAAGGGCCTCTCTGGCGGCGCAGGGGGTTGAGCGCAGTGCTGTGAGGCTGTCTGCGGCCTTTGCCCGTGAGTTCAATCCCTAGCTGGCGGGGGAGCTACCCACATGGCGCAGCAGACCTCTCCTGTCTCCCCGCTGCTCCCCTCATTAGTGTACTTTGGTACATCTGCCTGTTTTGCTCCCCACTCTCTCTGGTGATTCTTCTCACCCCCCCACCCCCGCGATTCTGGCCTGTACCCCGCTTCTTAAGAAAAAAAAATTGCCAGGACTGCCCATTTAGAGCCCGACTCCGCAGAAAACCTGCCTCTGGGTGCGGTCGACGGAGCTTGGTGTGCAGCCGGCCCGTGCGGCTGTGCGGGGATCGAGAATCCGTGCCTTGCTGGACGGGAAGGAGGGAACGCGTTAGCCCAGGGGAGAAGTCTGGGGGTCCATTTAGAAGCTGTCTTGACTGTAAGAGCTCTTCTAACCACAGGAAAGTATACAGGACAGGGCGCAGGGACAGGGAGGCAAGGGCTCCCCTGTGCCAGGCAAGGGCTCTCCCCGTTGGGTCTCCGGCCAGTCTGCACCAAGAGAGCTACCAGCGCGGGCCTCTCGAGTCACTTCTGCGCCTCGCACGCTGAAGCAGGTGCCACCGCCCTCAGCCCTTGCTGGTGGACATGCCTGTGGACAGACTGCTGCTGTCTGTCCATCCATCAGTGATGGACTTGAGGCCTTTCCACTCCCGGGCTCCTCGGAAGGACGCTGCGGAGCTTCGTGTGCAGGCCTGCGTGAGTGTGTCTCTTGGGTCTACACCTGGGGAAGGAACTGCTGGGTCATTCGGGAACTGTTTCATTCTGTGAGGAAGCGCGAGGTGGTTTTTCCAAAGCACGCGCCCCATTTTTATATCCCCTCCCAGCAGCACACGCGTGTTCTCACTTCACCTCTTCACCAGCACCTGGGATTGCTGTCTTGCTCACTCTGGCCATCCTGGCAGGGGCGGTGGGGGGATCCATCTATATGATGTTCACACCACATGTCCGTGAATCCTGGTCCTCACACAGAGGAAGGAGGCAGAGAGGATTCTGACGTTTCATAGAGGAGTTACAGGCAACTCAGAGAAAATGAAAAAACTGACAGAAAGTCATCGGAAATAAAAGGCACAGGTACTATTCCTGGCTCAGTTCCTCCCTGGACCCGCTAGACACTGGCAGTTCTACAAGGGACAAGCAAGGGCTCCTGGCATTTACTTTGAACGGCCCCTTCCCCACCCGCCCCAACATGCGGGCTGGAGAGATTTCAGCATGTCCTCAAACCTCAAACCAGCATGTCCTCAAACGCAAGTCCTCAAACCAGGCTACCCGGTCTGGAAGGTGCCGCTCCTCAGAAAAGGTCGCCTCCTCAACCACAGCCACATCTCTTCAGTTCTAACAGGATTTGAAATGCTCCCTTAACTTCTAAAAATAGTAAATCCCCTCCCCAAGCCAGTATGGTCGCCTATACGTTAATACAGATTAGACCAACGCAGCCATAGCCAGCTCGTCCTCAGAGGACAGGTGAAGGAGCTTCACCAGGGGTGCCAGCAGGGCCCCCCTCAGTACAAGATGGCCACCAGGTCCCCCTCAGGACAAGGTGGCCTCCAGGCCCTCCTCAAGACAAGACGGTTGCCAGGGGCCCTCCTCAGGACAAGATGGCCGCCAGGCCCACCTCAGGACAAGGTGGCCTCCAGGCCCTCCTCAAGACAAGATGGTTGCCAGGGGCCCTCCTCAGGACAAGATGGCCGCCAGGCCCACCTCAGGACAAGGTGGCCACTGGGCATATCGGGAAATGCAGTGGGAGAGCAGCAGGGGAAAGGCCAGGCCATAGGGTTGGCTTTATCAATGAAATGTGAGGTGAATTGGTAAGTCGTCCAGGTCAACTGCTGAACGGAAGTTGAAAGCATGGACACGGGCCCCCACTGCTGTTCTCCTCCTCCATGAGTCCAAGGGGAGAGTTTGGGGGGGTCCGCTCTGCCAGCCTGGGTCCCAGAGGGACCCACAGTGTACAGGGGATAGTCTTGGAGCCTAAGTGGTTGCGAACCACAGAGACAGGGACCATTTGTTACCAGAGTATGACTTGGCGGCCTGACGCACAGTCGTGCCTCTACGCATACAAAACTGCAAACAGCCTAATGGCTGACTAAGTACTCTGTGTCTGTGTGTGTGTGTGTGTGAGTGTGTGTGTGTGTGTGTGTGTAGAGAGAGAGAGAGAGAGAGATGTAGCGGCAAAGAATCTGTTCTCCCTTGGAGAGAGAACCAAGTGCCACAAACACCTTGGAGATCAATTTAGTAACAAATGGTAATATGGACACAGATCTAGCAATTCTACTGCTGGAGAGTCTGGAGCTCTCATTGTAGTTTTCTGCTCCAACTAAGTATCTTAGAACAGCAAAAGGGTTGTTCTGGGTGGGGAATGCAGTGCGGTGCAGCATTCCGTGTACCTCTTTCATGGAGCTGGGCTGTTGTCTGGGCTGCAGTTTCATCCGAAGGCTAGACTGTGATGGGGCCTCCCACAGGGCCACCTCAAGACATGGCATCTGGCCTCCAAGAGATAACAAGAGAGGACACCCAAGATGGAAGCCACATCTTTCTTTAACTTAACATGTAAGGGACATGGATCTTCTGCCATTTTCCATTGCTTAGAAGCAAGTGAGTACATCTGGTCCACACCCAGACTGCCTCCCACGGTGCCAAGGAGAAGCCAGTGTTCATCACAGCATTTTCTATAACAGTGAAAACATGGAAATGACCTTAATGTATATGACCTGGGAAATGGTGGCTGATGGAGAGAATGGAACTTAATCAGCAGTTACCCAAAGGGGGAGTTGGGGGGAGGAAGAAGAAAACCATGAGCCCCATCTATGGATCAACGTGATTAAGCTCGCAAACTGTCTAACAAGCTGTCAACAGGGAACTATAAAGCGATATGAACAGCTAGTAGAACAAGAATTTACGAGCATTCCTAACACATTAAAAACTCAGG